TCAGACTCTTGGGATCTTCCTTTCCCTCCTTGAGATACAGGCGGGGAACTGGGTAAGCACTTAGCTCACCACATGTGAACTTCGAATTCATCTTGAGGACCCACCGATTAAAAAATGGACCTGGCTTTCGGGGGTCCCTGAAACGAAAAGGTCCAAGCCAGGACTCCTGGAGCGTCAGGTCCCATTTGGTGGAAGGGGAATATCGTTGAGACCCGCAGTCAGCTTTTTCCTGGGAAGGAACCCCTCTTTTTCTCATTTTCTGGCAGGAACCACCCCCCAAAACAAAATCGCGGGAGCCACCTGAGCCACAATCAAAACCCGGGAAGATGAAGGTTAGTACGGGGCAGTCCCAGCCAGAAATAGTTGCGGCCGCCTTCTTAGTTCTTTACATGCTTCTGGGTAGACCATTTCAATAATTACCGGGCTTTGACTGTGACTCACCTGGCTCTCCCAAATGGTTGGTGGCCAGCAAAAAACCGCACCTAAGTGACCCCTCCACGAAGGGGTCCATTGCCAGGACAACCAGCAGCTCTTCCAGCTGCGCTCGGAGGGCTTGCAGGTGGAGCTGAGCTACGACGGCCTGGAGCTCGAGGTGCCGCTCACTTTGGACCCCGAGGTGCCCCTCCTGGAGCTGCAGGACGCATCGATCTCGCCGGGGCGTAGACACGCGGCGTCCGGCGTCCCCGTTTTGTTGGGGCGGGTCTTTGGTTGAGGGGTCCCAAGTTGTAGGGCTGGGGTACAAGGAAATCAAGGTTAAATTTCGGCTCAGGGCTGGTTTGAAGGGACATCGTGGATAAAATTATCGTTTTTTTGGGCTGGTTTAAAAGGACATCATGGTTAAAATTCCCAGTTTAGGGTTTAAAAGGGAATCGTGGTTAACATTCACGTGTTAGAGCTGGTTTGAAAGGACATCAACAATCTCCATTTAGGGCTGGTTTACACGGACATCATGGTTAAATGTCTCGTTCGAGGAACACCTGGTGAAGCTTTTTGTTTTAGGGTTTGCTTATATAAAAAGAAGCGGCGCTTCTCAAAACAGTAGACCCCCTTTGGGCAGTTGAAGCGAGGGGTCTAGAAGGCAACGGCCGGTTTTAGGGGGCCATTTTGAGAAACACCCACGCGTCCCCTCTGCTTTGAACATGAGAGTGTCGACATGGTGATCCTTGGGCTCAAGCTGAGGTTTGGGGATGAGTTGCGTGTGTGAAGGGAGGCCTAACTCCTTTTTTTTTTGTTTCGACCCCTGGTCATTCATCACCTTTAGCTCAAACGTCGACCAAATATGAAGCAGCCATGGAGCATCTGACTTGTGTTCTGCGTGCCCCAGATGAGGCTCAAGTTTGGGCGCACTGTTCTGAAAATTGAGCAGAGCCATCGGGTTGACTTTCCGCCGGCATTGATTGGTTTCGGTCCATTGGTTTTGGTTTTCGACCTTACCCGATTTGTTGGTTTTGGTTGGTTTGGGTTTCTTTTTGTTGGTGTTGGTTGGTGCTGATTGGTTTAGGCTTCTTTTGGTTGGTTTTGGTTGGTTTTGTTTGGTGTTGGTTGGTTTGGCGGGTTTGGGGTTGGTTTTGCTTGGTGCTGGTTTGTTTTGGTTGGTTCGGGTTGGTCTTGTTCGGTTTGGGTGATCTTGCTAACCCATTGCCATGCTGAACTTCGCCTTGGAAACCCGTTTGCCCTTTGGACTCGTGGATTCCAGGTGGTGCGCTTGGATAAGAGGTACCCCCAACACCCAATTCCCGTTTTTTTCAGGGTATGATGTCAACCCTCTACTAAAAAAGGAGGCTTTTGCCCTTGAAAGCGCAAGTGTTTCTCACAACACTCTACCCCGAAAACTGCGGGGTATTTGGAGCAGGGCGTAAATGGGAATGAAGTAAGGGATTCCACCAACTTCGATGGTTCATTTCGGAGGCAGTCCATATCTCATTCCCTGAGCGACCAGCAAGCACATGGAAGGCTCCAGGGCAGAGTACCGAAAGTCACACTGATCCACTGGGAAGTGCTTCACCCTGTGCTTCAAATATCCCATCTGCTTCGGGTTTTTTCGGATGTCAGTTGACGACCAAAAGGGAGGTATGCCCGGCGCTTCTGCTTAACAACAACGTAGGGAGGTGTTTTAGCCAAGGTGGCTGGGGTTGCCGGGGTTAGTCCCCTTCCATTGGATGCAATTCTACTTAAGTGGGTCAATCTGTAAAACCAACCCAAAAAGGGGACCCTGTTTTCCAACAGACCTGCTTTCCGACCTCCATTTTTCCTTTTGGTTTTATGGGTCCAAGAAACAAGTTTGCGGTTGGAAAAAACAGGGTCCCTTCGGCAAAGGGGGCTCCCACAAAACAACACCCAAGTAGCTTGGCGTCATCCGCAGGACTACGAGCTCCAGCTCGCACAGATCCCGAAGCCGACGAACGGGGTGTGGCAAGGCTTGTGCAACGCGGCGGCTTCGGACGCTTTCGGCGCGTGGGCCGTGGTGGGTTGGTCGGCTTTTCCAATGATTAGAGTTCAGGATTGGTGGGTTGGCTGTTTGATCGTGAAATCTCTTTTTGTACATGTTTAAGCAAGTTACCCGGCAAGACCTGTGTTTTGTAGGTACCCAAGAGGTTTCCCATCCTTCAAAAGTTGGACAATGGAGGGTGACCAGCGGATCCACCGTTTGAGACATTCCCGTGGTTCTCAAAAGCGCTGTTTCGGGGTGTTCGTTAAAAGGCGAACGCGATGCACTTTCGAGGGCCCCCCTCAAAACAACCAGGTCACACCGCAGCGAGTCGCCTGGCACCAATCAAGCCTCCTGGTTTCACCGTTCACTCCGCTGGCCAACAATTTTATCACATGCAAGCAACAAACTAAGAAACTAGAATTTCAACTAACTAATTCATGTTTGACGAGTTTGTGTCGCGGCAGCTAAAAAGGTCTGAATCAGTAAAGGTTCAAGTGTGGGTTGTGACAACACCCTGTTCAATTTCAAGTGTGGGTTGTGTCAACATCGTGTTCAGTAAATGTTCAAGTGTTCAAGTGTGGGTTGTGCCAACATCCTGTTCAGTTTTGTGCCAGCATGCGTGCAGCGGTCGTGGATGCGTGTGGGCGTGTGTATTATCATTTGTGCCGGCAGGCGTGCAGCGGTCGTAGATGCGCGTGGGCGTGTGTACTATCATGTGTGCCAGCGTGCGTGCAGCGGTCGTGGATGCGCGTCGGTGTGTGAATTACCACTTGTGCCAGCATGCGTGCAGCGGTCGTGGATGCGCGTGGGCGTGTGTATTATCACTTGTGCCTTGGCAGCATGCGTGCAGCGGTCGTGGATGCGTGTGGGCGTGTATTAGCACTTGTGCCAGCATGCGTGCAGCGGTCATGCGATGCGCGTGGGCATGAGTACTATCATTTGTGCCAGTGTGCGTGCGGCGCGCGTGGATGCATGTGTGTGTGTGTGTGTGTGTGTGTGTGTGTGTGTGTGTGTGTGTGTGTGTGTGTGTGTGTGTGTGTGTGTGTGGGTGTGTGTGTGTGTGTGTGTGTGTGTGTGTGTGTGTGTGTGTGTGTGTGTGTGTGTGTGTGTGTGTGTGTGTGTGTGTGTGTGTGTTTGTGTGTGTTTGTGTTTGTGTGTGTGTGTGTGCGTTACCAGTTGTGCCAGCATGCGTGCAGCGGTGGTTGATGCGCATGGGCGTATGTATTATCGCTTGTGCAGCATCGCCTTATGTGTAAAGACTCCGAGTACCCAAACAAATGTCAAAAATACAGCCGACATGCACGAAACAACCAGGTTCCTGGCGGTGGTACAAGCAACTGCAAAAAGGGGCTGAACCTATGAACCACCTTCTTCACCCCCCGCTTTGGGTGTGCCTCCATTGATTTGCTTGCACGTGCCAGCCATTTGGAGACATTATAATAATCAACATGGCTTGTGGTGTAGTGCTTGGGACAACGGTCCAGCAGCGGCTTGCGGTTTGCAGGGGAAACTGAAAATGAGCCAATCACCTGAGGGCCCAGGTTGTTCAAAAGGGAACCGGCCAGAAGCCAGCCATTTGCACTTGGCTATGGCTCAAATTTCAAGAGCTAGGGTTACGCAGGCTTTAGTCTTTGGTTCCATTTACCAAGGTGCGATTTTGGTACATTAATTTGAGGCACACCCACTTGACGCAACCTTGGCCCAAACTTTTTCCGATCCGAGGCACATGCTGTCCACTCCTTGCGCGCGCGTATTGAACATGGCATCGCCGGCGAAAACAGCGCCTGTCCGCCTTGAGGGATGCTTGACAGGGCTTGGCCAGCCCTTGTTTGAGCATGTTTCGACCGCTACTGTTGGGTTCTTCTCAGAATAGGGGGAGTCCCGTCAAATGTGTCTTGTGGCGTTCCTTTAAAGCAACCAAATCAGGGTACCTACATTCGGGTTGTAGCAATGCCTGCCAAACCCTTAACTCCATCTTATTGTCCAGTACTCCAGGTCATCCGAAATTCACCAACTGACTGACTGGCTGGGCTGGCTGGCTGGCTCTCTGGGCTGTCCGACTGGCTGACTGGCTGACTGACTGACTGACTGACTGACTGGCTGGCTGACTCAATGAATGCATTTGATTTGGTCCTGCACCTGACTCTGCCGCTCCCTCAATCACTCAAGTGGAGAGCAGCGAGAGGAACAGCCCGGCTGATGTTTGGGATGAAGTTTTGAATAATACATTTAACAGCCAACGCGAAGAATACGGTAGAATGCGGGCCAAACTTCAAACATGATGTTCTTGGATGTTTTTTCGGGTACGCACGTCAAGCATGCTCAGCCATCCTCACACATGAGCTGCAAAGCTCCACAAGAAAAGAAGGAAAAAACATGGGCACAATGGAAGTACATCCGAGATATAATCAAAGTGCGACGGCATGAGCGGCTCCCTGAAAGCATTCTTTCTCGGGGGCGACTTCAAATTGGTTGATTGCCTTGAAAGGAAGGCCAACGGAAGCCAAAACAAATCTATGGGATCCATATCCCATGCAGAAACATAGTTCCCGTTTTCGGACACTGCCTCATGGATTTACCATGGCATCCTTTTCAGGACGAGGCGCCGGAGTTCAGTTCAGCCAATGGTCAGAACCATCCCAACCACATTTTGTTGGGTGCGAGAGAGACCAATAAGTACCTGAGACTTGGCCCGCGTGCAAAGTAGTTGCCCTTAATTTGTAGGAACCAAAGGCCCTACAGGTTTGCACCTCGGCCTTCTGGGGGGGGGTTGAAAAACCTCGTCCTTTGGGGGTCCTTGAGGGTCACCTTTTGGAGGGTTCTTTGAAGCCACACGTTGGATGAACAAGTTGGGTCCCAAAGCCAACCTGCGGGGCGCGAACAGCCCCATGCATGTTTTTGTTGCAAGCTCCCGTTTTCCTGGCGCTTCATGTGATATTCAGCCGTGGGAAAATATGACGCACAATGAGCCTTTGGGGTTTTAGGTTTTTTTGAGGAGTTTTGGCCGAGCCTCCAGATTGTTTTGCCTCCACTGGACCGTACTGTTTTGGGGTCGGTGTGAGAAGCCAAAAAGGGCATCCAGCATTTTTAAGATCCGTCTTGTTCCCTAGCTGAACTCTTTGGGCTCTTTACCCAGATCGGGCCTCTGTTTTGACGTTCCGAAGTCAACCCGACCGCTTTTGCGGCAGCTCTGGGTTGGGAAAGTCGCCAGGGAGTCGAATTCGACTTCATTTGCTGAAGTCATGGGGATGGGAATCGCTTACTTTGGCATCATCATCTCTCTTGAAGTTCCTTGTTCTTTTTCAGGTTCCCTAGTATGAAACATATTTTCAGTGGCAAAGCCCAATATAAAAGTTATTTGTTCAATTCCAGGCGAGGTAGTTTTGTGATTCCTCTAGTCGGGGCGCCCTTTTCTTTCACGGCGCCATCGATCCTCGAGGAGGAGCGGCCGTGACGCTCAGGCCAATGTGGCGCCTCCCTGGATCAGACACTCCCGGCTGCAGACGCAGCAGGAGGGGGTGGCACCTACGTCCACGAGCTCGTCCACGCGTTGGATCTGTGGCATATAGGGGTTGATCAACACTCCTGACCCCCAAATGACCACTTTTCCCATTTACCCCACTGACCCATTTGTCCCCCCGCAAATGAGCAGGGGTAACTTTTCCAGTTTAGTGGGGGAAGTCATCGTATTTTTGGTGGTTTCCCTGATGGGCATCCCATGTCACGAACCTTTTGGTCAACCCATGGACCCGTTGAGCTCCGAATCCAGCTGAGAAGGGAGCTGGGGACTTAGGGATCAATGATTTGATGGTTAAGGTTTGGCATTTCCCAGTGGATAAGGTCACGCCCAAGAAGCCAGGTAGAGTGTGTATATATGGGCATGGGTCAAAATGAAACCACCAGCGGGCCACAAGTTTTAGTCCTTGGTTCCATTTACCAGGGAAACCCATGTTGGGTACCTATTTTTTACCCACAGCCATATATGTGCCCCGGCTAGCGAGTTTATCTCCTTGTGTGTTTAAAGATAATATTCATTGATTAAATGAATTGCTGCTATTTCGTGCGTTTTTTCATTGTTTGTTTGTTTTGTTGGTTTGTTTGTTTGTGTTTGTTTGTTTGTTTGTGTGTTTGTGTGTTTGTGTGTTTGTGTGTTTGTTTGCTTGCCTGTGTGTTACTCATGTTTCTTAAGTAGTATTTATTGTTGTGTATTTACGCGTTTACTTATTGTAGGTGGTTTTGTCGAAGTCACAGCACGCACAGCTCGCCGTGGCTTTCTGCTTTGAAGCCGCGGGCTTCTCGAGTTGCGAGCCCAGGGCAGGCACCTGCAGGGGGCAAATTTGGTGGAGCCAATTTCTGCAATTTTCTTGCAGGGTACAAAGGGGGCGGTTAACACCCGCAATAGTCGAACCAGCCCCTTCAAACCAAAGGGAAAGCAAGAAAAGAAGTTGGCCCAACATTGCTGACCAAGGATGAATCTGGCAGGAAACTTTCAAGGTGGGGTCCTAGTCTTATTCTCTGCCGACCATGGCTAAGCCCCCATGCCGACGCCGACTGCCCACGCCCCGTGCGGAGCCCGTTTTTGATGGGGTGGCGTTTTGGAGTCATTCCACATCAGAAATGGATCCGTTTTCATGCATGGGTTTCCCTTCCCATCCGAACGCTTTCATGGCTTTCGAAGTATAGCTTTTTCAATGGAGTTTTTTAGTAGTTAGCTGGATCCAAGCACCTGCGCCGGTCACTGACATCATGTGCCGCATATCAAGCAAAAAGGAGACAAACCCAAAAACAAGACAGGGAAAGCAGCAACAAGCATAAATGAAAAAGGACAAGACTCAAATAATAAGAAACAAGGAGAAAGACGACCAAAACAAACAACACGCAACAGGAAAAGAAAGAAACAGAAGGACATCGGTTCTGCGTCTTTGTTCGTCACGCCCGCCAGCCTACCTCAGTGCCCACAGGTTTTGCTGCGTTGGTGTTCGGTGCGATCAGGGCAGCTTGTTTGATTACCTCACATTTCTCCCATTTGCTTCAGACTATTCTGTATTTCCCCCTCTTGCTTTTTTTAGAGGGCATATAATCACTGGACAGATTCGCTCATTTTATGTCCATTGGAACAGGATCTTTGGTGTCTTCCCCCAACAAAAATTACCCCCCCCCGGCCAGCCACCGGCCCAAGCCTCGACGCCTCTCTCTCGACCCGGATCCAGCGGATGGATCGAAGGAGCTCTGCGCGAAGCGGTTCCTGCGCTTCGCCTCCCAGTTGCACGTGCACGCCGTGGTGGTGCTCTGGGCGCTGGCGCGGCCCTTGGTTTGGGTTGGTTTGGGGTGGGGTTGAGGGGGGGGGGGGCTGAAAGAACTAGACATGGCTTTGGGTGACAACCAAAATAAGTAGTTGCCCAAAATGAGGTTGCCCTAAATGGAAACATGGACGAACACCAGCGGTTTTGGGATGGTTTGATATCATACCCAAATGACTCCACATGTTGTGGCAATATGCAATTTGTCCGGGCAGTTGTTTGCAAGGGTTTGTCAACACATTGCCAGACTTTTGCCTGACTTGTTTGCAATTGTTGTAAATTGGGTTATGGGGGAGGGAACAGGTCCCGCTTGATGTGGCAACACTGTGTAGTCAAAAGATGGCGTAACAATCGCAATGCACATGTCCCGAAACAGCTTTTCGACAGGGGTGCACTGCTTTTTGCAGTGCCTGGTTCGGGAAGGACACACCGAAATTCATGGGTTTTGTGTCATGAGGAAAGGCCAACTTAGCAATGTTTCAAGTTTCTTCTGGCTTCTGGACCTCACAGTTGGCGCCGATCTCTGCCGCCTTCAAGGAGGACAAGAAGAAGGGTTTTCCCAACTGTCAAGGTTCACTAGATGACCAGCATCAAACAGATGCTTTGAGTAGGGATTGCTCAACCTGCGTTGTTGAACACCGCTACTACTTTACGCAGAATTGGGCGCTGCCCTACTCTTGACTACTGGCAACAGCGGCGGAATTGCGGCAAGAAGACAGCGTCCACGGGAAAGCTGGCCGTGAACTGCACGGACTTCTGTTTTCTTGCACCACGAACGAAGACGTTTTGGGTGGTTGTTGTTCAAGTATCTCGCCGGGTGGTGGCCTGGCACCATCCTGACGGTCTTTCGCGCAGCACTGTTTCTTGTCTGTGGGGTTCAGGACACAGGCTGGACTCTTGTCGTTTTCTAGAATTGCTTAGCATCCTTCTTCCTTGACAAACCAGGAGACACACTAAATGTTCTAGAGACAGCCAAAGACGTTGCTCACCTGGACCCTGAAGCTACCCGTAAAGACGGGATATTGCACAACATGTTGCGGTGATTGCCCGTGTTTTAGGATAACGCAGTTTTGAGGACACCTGAACGCAACTCGCCAGGGAATGACTCTCTCTCCTCTCATTTCCTAATGTCCATCAAGGAGAACCATACTAATCTGAGGAACCCCCTAGAATGAATTGAGGCATTGAGCCTCTAACCTGGCTCCGGGAGCCACCCCTGATTGCGAATACTTGGGTGTTCACACTGCTTAGTATATAGGTTATAGCCATGCTAAGGGGCAGTTACTCTAGTTCCCCTAGTTACAACCTTGGAAAAAGCCGAGTCACAACCTACACGTCCCTGAAGTTCAACATCCAAGTGCAACCATTTTGGTCGCTTGATTTCAAGAGAAACAGAACCAAAGCATAAGAACAAAAAAACACGCGTCCTTTTCTTGCCGAATTCCCAGGGCTCCTGGCGCAGCGGCCCGGCGCCCGGAAATGGAGCCATGGCCATTGGGGAGCAGATTGGAGCCAACAGAGAACCGCCCGAGGAATCTTCTTTTCAAAGAGGTAAAGTTGCGGGAGCTGGGTTTGTCTTGAAGCCAAAAGTTCAGGGAACCCATTTGCTGGTTTGGATTAGTTTGGGGATTTGATCCCTTGTTGTAGAGGATGAACAATGGGAGAAACCCGCGCTCACCACAAGGTTCCACCACCCGGCTTCCTAAACCAGGCACTCGGAGAGCCAAACCAGCGAAGCGGCAGGCGTTTGCGCTTGGAGCGCTTGGGCGCCGTTGCTGTACTTCACCGCCCCTGTGCTGCCTGGGGCTCGGAGTCGGCTCCGTGGGAGGGTGTTACCTGGTGGGTGGGGTGGGGTGGGGTGGGGTGGGTGTGGGTGGGTGTCCCCAAAACCAAAAGAAAGGGGTCATGGATAATCTCCGTTCTGTTTACCAGTTGGTTTTTGGAAGGTTGGGAAACGCGCGGAAACTTGATTAGCTTAATGGAATGAATCACTGGGTTGGGTGCATGGGGCACAGACTGGGGCACGCTTCGTGCATTTCTTCAAGGGACGTTTCGCTAAACACTGATCAGAATCAAACATGTTGTTTGGGGTCCTGATAAAGTCACCAACCGGGGAGTGTTCCTGCAATTTTGCAGCGCCATATGTGCCATGATCAACAGACCCTTTCATTCGAGGCATTGAGGAAGGTCATGAGCCCTTTTACAGCGATGAACAGGATTCCTATTCAGGGAGCCATATCCATGATGCACATCTTGGCTGTTGTGACCATGGAACATATGGTGCAAGGAGAACAATCCCCAATTGGTCCCCAATGGGCCCCATTTTCGAGACAACCCCATGCACTCTATGCATGTGTTCGGATTCTGTCGGGTCGCAAGGTTGAAGCACCGCGTGCTGCCGAACTTTAGTATCGAATACCTCTCCGTTTTCATCCTGGCGCCGGTCTGAGTTGTCAGACCCCGCGGGTATGTGGGTGCGAGGAACATAAGTTTGAATCCCAGCGTTTTGCGCGTCCCCCAATTGACACGTACCCAGAATTGTATACGTGTTCCAAACTGAGCCCAAACGGGGAAAAGGGGATGAGTTTGTTTCCCTTTTTCCAGACTATGGAGAGACAAACTCGGGCCCATGGTCCAGGTATGTCCAGTGGCCCAGTGGACCACATATGTTCCCCAAAGTCACTCCAATTTTTGTTAAGCCAGTTGTGAGGGTCCAGGTATGTTCCAAGCCCAAGTGAAACACGGCTACAAGGTAAGATTTTGTCCCAAAGGCGACTCGTCTTTGCTTGTTTTGCAAGACCAAAGAGAAACATAACCAAAGCCCTGAGGCTCCCTCCTTGTATGAGATTCACATTTGGAGATCTTGAGTGGGTTATGTGTTGGTTACACACGCAGGCACACAGGAAGGAGCCTGTCCTTTTGGGATGGTGTTCTTTGAGATTTTGAATCAACAAGAAACGGGTGCTTGTGCAACCCAACGTCACATACGGAGGTAACAGGCCATGGTTATCTCTGCAACTGGACTCTGTCCCCCTTTACTGAGTAACTTTGATCTCTAACGTGCCCTTCTTGCACAGTCCATTTTGTTGATGTAGTTTTCTTTCTTTGCCACCCCATGTGATCTTTGCCTTTTTGCCCACAAGAAATCCAGGGCTGCCCCCCCCCTCTTCCCTCCCCCCCCTCTTCCCTCCCTCCCCTCTTCCCTCCCTCCCCTCCCCACCCCCTCCCCTCCCCTCCTCTCCCCTGCCCCCTTCCCGCCTGAGGCGTTGAACGTGGCCAACGCGCTGCACCTCTCCTTGGTCTTGGCGCACGAGGGCGCGCTGGTCTTGGCCTCGCCGCTCTTCGCCTCAGTGGCATTGCCTGGGAGCCCAAGCGGAGAACGCCGAATCTGCCTGCGTGATGCTGCCTGGGGTCTCCGATCCAAAAGTTCGGATTTGATCAAAGGCATTTTGCAGGTAGGGGCTTTGGAATCTTTGGAGGTATGGAGGGTTTAACCTTTTTTTCTGCGTTACAAACTTACAGTGGTGGTATAAAAGCATCCATACCTCATACCTCCAAAACCCATACCTGCAAATGCCCCGTATCGACTAAACATGAAACGGAGTCAGGTTAAGTCTTGTTTTTAGAGTACCCCAGATGCAGGCCAAGGTTCCCTTTGCGGCGGTTGCTGCATTGTAGGGACTGCATAGAGAACTTAAATAGCCATTGCAAGGACTCCCAAAGAAAGGGAGCCATAACCATGGCGTACGTGCCCCGATTTTGGCATTCGTTTAAAAGGACACCAACAGTGGATGGGCGTGTTTCAGGTTTTTCAGACCTATTTGACCAGGTTCCACCCGATTTCCGCCAAATCGCGGGTTGATGTGTTTTCACTTGGAGAAATGTTGCAAACACTGATCCATGAAGAACCTACATAATCGTAGGGGACCAAACAGGGGCTGATAGCGCCTCAAAGCAACGCTATATGAGTGAAGAGAATTCAGCATGTTAACATTGGGGGAATATAGGGAACTCTGTGCACCGGTTGGAGGATCCTGACCGAAAGGCCCGGCGAGCCTTGATCCATCGTGTGGTTTCCTTGGGGGTATGCTTGATTCCCTAGATCCTGCAAAAGAAGAGTGTGAACCTCTTATTTCAACCAGCCCCTCCCCATGCGGTCAAATGGCCAAGTCTTTCAACCAGCCCCTCATCCTGTCAAATGGCCAAGATGGCACACAAGTCACCTAGCCAAACGATCTCGTCGCCGGTTGCAGAGTCTCCGCTTGTTTTGGTTCCCAGGTGCCGGGTGCTCTTTGGGCTCTTCACTCAGGAGGTTTGAGCCCCAGGCAAAAAAGCCGCAGCGCGTCGCCCCGGTTGCCCAGTACTAATATATTTCTGTATGGGTATCTAAATGAGGCCACCCCCCAAACTAATCACTTGGTGTCCTATTGGTTTCCCTTGAAGTTTAAGAAAAACAGGTCTTGCACCCCAGAGTTGTTTGCCCAAAGAGGAGGGCCAAGGAAGAAGGACACTCTCAAAAGTTAAAAGGGCACATATGTAAATCAGGGGTGTGGCCACCAAAAACGCAGTTGAACTGTTTTTTGGAAGATTTTGGGGACGTGCCATTTGAAGTCTGCTAAACCTCTAACCCCTTAGGTCTAGATGGAAACTGGTGTGGACCAAGCGGCATGATATGTGTGCAGAGGGATCTGTGTATGTGTTTCTCGCTATTCATGAGACTGTTGACCACCCTCCACCTCCCCGAACACACCCAACCAACTTTAGTCTAGTTTGGTCTTGCTCCAGGCAGTACAGCATTGAAATGTACTGGGAAGTTGCCAGGTCACCCGGGTATTGTAGACCCCACATGAAGGAAGCCGCTTCTATTCAATAGGGAGTGGGGGCCCACAAAGAGGGGACACACCCTTGTTAATCAACCAGGGGTGTATTAACCCGAGATCAACATCAGATTGAAAGAGGGACAGTCCCAACCAGAAAAAACAGCATCCAGCCGCTCTCTTTTTGTTGGCGGAGACGTTGGATTTTTGTTCGTTTACTACCTCGCCAGCCGGGGACGTTGGAGTTTGTTCCTTTTTTTACATTACCAGACTTAGCCTACCTTTTTTTTAACTTTGCTTTCCCCTTGCAATACAGATGCGGGACGTCCCAGTCTGACCCAAGGGACCAACCTTTGACTCTTCTGATGGTAGAATCACCCGGGCAGGGTCCCAAGGCCAGAAGTTTACTGCAAGTATCTCTTTTCACCCCCCCCCCCCCGACCTGACAACCCTCAGGTTCTTAAGCCTATGCGTGCAGCATTTGTGGCTTTGTCAAAGCACCCGTTCAATTACTTGGGGTTGGTCGGGATGGTCGTCAACCTCTCTTGTCCATTTCGTTGAATCGAGCACGGCCAGCTTGAGATGCTCTAGCTTTCAGGTAGGAATACATGCCGCTTCTAAGGGGTGGTTGTGTTCGCCTTCAAATGAATGTACCCCTTTTGTAAGGGGGTTCTCACACCTTTAGAACTCACCCTCTTGCAGGTTTTACTGGTCGTGAAGCCATACGTAGTGCTTACGTCGAGCCGGCCCGCTGACTATCAGGGTTGTGCAAACTTCTCTATCCCCATGAAACCAGCAATAAAAAAAACAGGTTGCCTACCAGGAGACCGGAAAAAGCATGGCCATGAGCTGTATCTTCACCGGCTACGGAGGATTGCACATGGGTTTTTGGATTCGTACCACGCGTTTCCCCCGTAGCACAGCCTGAGGTGCACCTGCATGTGCTGCTGAGCTCCGGCATCACATTGGTGACGCTGTGGTGCAACCAGGCGAGAGGCACGACGGCCACAGACCACCCCCCTAGTAGCCTAAAGAAAAGGAAATCTTCGCAGGTGTGGTTGCAATATGTTTTGTCAAACCCTTCAAGTGCCCATATATATATATATATTATATTATATACACACCATGGCGGTGCCATCTCGGGGCTGTCCTGATTTTGCTCTGGGTACTTTGAGGGTTTCGCCTAGGTGTCCGGTTTTCGGATGGCTTGAACATCGCATGTGGCTTTTTTGTGGGGGTTCATTTTGAGTCAGTTTCCCTGTAAGGGGAAAGACCAGAACCCAAAGATTCGCGCGGGGAGGGGGGGTTCAGGGCATTGCGAGAGCGACATCCTGCCTTGAGGCCCGGATCGGCTTGGTAATCCCTCAGCAAGCTTCGAATTCGGACGAGCTGGCAGCGGCTCAAAACATGGAATCCCCAAAATGGCACCTTGGTATATGGAAAACAAGACCAAACACTGGTTCTTTAATTTTGAGCCATGCCTAGCTGACTGCTTTTCCAGCCAGGATTTCCCCATGTCTTCTTGGCAATTGTCTTCCTTGCTCGTATGGGCATTACCAAAATTCAGAAGGCTTAAGTTCCAACGTCAGGGGGGGGGGGGGGGGGACACCATTCGTTCATTCTTTACCTGGTTTTCGGGCACAGACCCTCAAACTGTTGGGGCGGCTTTGCGTAAGCCCTGACGTGAACCCTAAGTTTTTGAACGAAGCCAAAGGGAAGCCACTTGTCTTCTATGGGTTCCCTTCGAGTTCAACAAATCCACTCCTCGTAAGGGTTCCTTCTGTCGCTGGGACCCCTTTTCCAGATCTGGCGGCCAGGTTTTGAGCACCCAAGAACTCAGCAGCGTGACTCGCTGAGGCTGGCAGGGTCATCCTCGTGACCTGTCTGCTGCTGGAGCTGACAGCTGCTCGCCGGCGCAAAGTGACCGGGGATGCGGACAGCTCGATTTGCTTAGGCGGTCCGGGAGCTAACCTAAAGCGGTTAAGCGTTTCCATTGTTTTTTTACTCCTGTGTAAACCGTGCTCAGGGGAGATGATTCAGATACTGTTTCAGGTGTCCACTTTCTGTGAGTGGCCATGGAAAGTAATACTACGCTAGTCATCACAACCTATTAGTACGGCATCAATGGTATCAGAGAAAGGCGTCGATTTTCCACAAATGAACTCTTCTTGGTGCGGGGGGGTGTCTTTCCTTTTCGGGCGGTCCACTTTTTGGGTCCATAGAAGAGCCACACACTTGGAGAACTTCCGCTCTTCACCTCGGGGCCCTTTCAACGGGGCCTTGTTTGGATGGTGTTCAAGGGGAGGCCAGAAGGGGCCACCTGTTCGAAGCCACCTGTTTTGAGAAACTCCCAATTACTGCCGGGGAACCTGGACCAGTTGGGGTGTCGTTTGGGGAGCCCCAGAATGATGTGTTGTTTTTTTCCTTTTGGTTTCCCTTCGAAATCACAGCAGAAGGGGTACCCTCAACAAAACGCATTCTCAGTGGTTCTGCTTTGCGAGACGAGGCAGGGGTCGACTGACCCTCGAGGATCGTGTTCCAAGGGTAGAACAGAGGCCTGGACCCTCAAGGTGCTCTGAAGGCAGATCCCACCTCTCGGGGTGTTTTCCCATATGGCTGTGGTTGTCAAAACCGTTTTGGGATCCCATTTTGGGGTAGGTGAATTCACCACCCGTTCTAGTGCCTATTTTTTTGGGATTGGGAGGTTCACTGGGGCTAACCGGGATTTTGACCCATGGCCACAAGGGCAGCTAGAGGTTCCACCCCAATCCGTCAAGCTCAGGGCCCTGACTGCACCAGTCTCGATCTAATGTTTGTGCGACGTGCGAGGCTAGGAATTGGTGATCAAATCTCAAAATACCAGGAATGGGCCATTTGAATGGGTGGTTCTACTGCCTGGTTGCATGGGGCTTATAGTAACGCGGGGGAGCCGCGCGCCAGAGCATGTTCTGAAGACAGCTCTTCCACAAGGGTCGCATGAGCCCGAGGAAGCAAAGTCTGTAGAACCGAAAGTCGATGGGTTTTGGGCGCTGCTCAAGTAGGTTCTAACAGGCAAGTTCCAGCTTGCATGACTCACTGACAATGATATGTGTAGTACCCTAGCCCCCCAGAACGATCAGAACGGTGGTTGTTTGTTTGGTTTCCCTTTTCACCAGTTTGACAAGGGTGCCCGGAAAACAATCACTCGTGTAACAAACAAACAAACAAACAAACAACCAAACAACCAAACCCTCAATAGGGGGACCGTGGTCCCCTCCAAAAACATGGCTGGATTCCTTTTGATGTTCCTTTCAACAGAACTGTTCGACAGTTTTTGAGGGTGGTGGTGAGGGTTTGGCCATGCCCTTGCTTCATGTTTAGCTCCCCCAATTCGTGTTGGTTTCCCTTTAAAGGTTCATAAAAGTCATTCACTCATGCCCTGAGAACCGAACAAGTGAGCTCCTAGCAAGTTACCCACCTCAGCCACTTGTTGGGTTTCCTTAAAGAGAAACCTGGTCACAACCACCCGGCAAAACATAGGGAAACCTGGCAGGGGCTGGTGGCCGCTAGCAACGCCAGGCTGTGGTGGTCTTGTCCTGCGGGCCTTGCGGCTACGAAGAGGCCAGAAGCTGAAGTTGCGAACTTACCAACAAGAAGCTCAGGTCAGCCGCAATCAAAACCCGGATAGATGGCCATGGCTCAAAATCAATGGTACCATTTTGGGATAGGTGCACCACCGAGCTTAGTACCTATTTTAGTGGATTGGGATGTTCCTGGGGGCGAACCGGGGTTTTGACCCATGGCCAGATGAAGGCCAGGGGACAATCCCAGCCAGAAACAGCGGTGGCCGCCTTTGTATTTCCTTGCATGGTTCTGGGTCAACCATTTTAATACGGGGTTTTGATTGTGACTCAGGTGATATCCCCAACAGCATACGGCGCTTTTCAAACCTCGCAAAGGTAACCCTGCGAAACCTTACCTCAGCTCCACTCCAGAGCCCTCGTGGAACTTCGTGGAACCTTGCCAAATTTTGGTGGTATACATGGCCTGCGCCAGACTCGAGCCACCCCCAAACCCTATCTGGGCTGAGACCCTTAGCTTTCAGCTGTTGGGGAGAAAGGGAGGCCTTTGGGTGTTTCTCAAAGTTTGTTTTCCGACCTACCTTTGGTTGATACTTACATTAAAGTTGGATTGTTTCTTGGGAATCCGGTCGGTATTTCAGATTTAATGGGAACCCAAGCTTCCACATACGACCCCCCCCCCTTCCCCAGCTACGGCGGGCGCTGGACCGTTAGGCGATGGTGCACTTGGCGCAATGCCGACTGCAGCACCAGTTGGCGCGCAGTCAGGCGTGACGGGCGGACAAGCGGGCGGGCAACTGTTTGCTGGTTGCTTAGTGTTGCCGAAAATGGGGGGGGGGATTCCGCAAAGATAGTTTGATTCTGGTTTCCTTTTTGCTTTGGCTTCCCTAAGTTTGCCTTCAATCCCCTTTGACACCCCTGTGGCCCATTTTCCTTGGCTACACAAAGGCGGCGCCCATGGGTGTTTTGCCGACTCGGGGCGCTTCCCCAATCTTGGCTTACACGCGGAATTCCCCTTATTTTTTTGGGGGGAGAAAGCGAAACGGTGAATAGGCCTAGTTGCAAGGAGGTGAGTTAAGTGTGTGAGTAGATTGGTAAATGGTTTCCCCAAGTTTCCTTTTGCTTTCCTTTTACCATTGCCAGACTCAGCTTGCCTGAGCAACTTCATTCCTTGTTGGTTCATTCCTTGTTGGTGTTCCTCCCTTCCTTCTTTTTCCCGGCAACCACTTCACTACTTTTTGCCGGGGGGCAGGTCTGGCCCAGTTATTCACATATTCTTCAAACATGAGCAGGAGTACTCACGATATGTCGAGGTTCCAACTAAGGAAGCCATCCCCTTTATCCAGGCTTTGGCCAGTTGATTCGCGTGGTTCACGGGGGGTTACCCGGGGGTCGGGGTCCAACCATTCGGCTAACTGCCGGACCATCCAACCCGTCCGATGTCTTGATATGGAGCCAGGGTTCCGACAGGCCGTAAGCCTGAGAACCTGTCGGGTCAAAAGCGGGTTCAAGCACCACAGAGCGACCAGAAGCGGCTAGTGAGTCTTAGGGGCGGGCCATGGGATATGCACTTCCCTAGGTTTTCTCTTGCAAGTCAGACCATAGGCTCTTCAGCGCATTGACGTGGAGAGAGAAGAGCTGAGTGGTGAGGGACTCAGATGCAGGAGCACGCAGGAGTGATTGAGTTGGTCTGTTGTTTTTGAGCTAGTAGTAGTTGTTGTTGTTGTTGTTGTTGTTGTTGTTGTTGTTGTTGTTGTTGTTGTTGTTGCTGTTGTTGCTGTTGTTGCTGTTGTTGTTGCTGTTGCTGTTGCTGTGGTTGCTGTTGTTGCTGTGGTTGTTGTTTGTTGTTTGTTGTTTGTTGTTTTTGTTGCTTTTGTTGTTGTTGTTGTTGTTGTTTTGTTGTTGTTGTGTTGTTGTTTTGTTGTTGTGTTGTTGTTGTAGTCTGGTTGTTTTGTTGTTGTTTTGTTGTTGTGTTGTTGTGTTGTTGTTGTTGTTTTGTTGTTGTTGTTGTTGTTGTTGTTGTTGTTGTTGTTGTTGTTGTTGTTGTTGTTGTTGTTGTTGTTGTTGTTGTTGTTGTTGTTGTTGTTGTTGTTGTTGTTGTTGTTGGTGTTGTTGTTGTTGTTGTTGTTGTTGTTGTTGTTGTTGTTGTTGTTGGGTGGTGTTGTTGTGTTGTTGTTTGTGTGTTGTTGTTGTTGTTGTTGTTGTTGTTGTTGTTGTTGTTGTTGTTGTTGTTGTTGTTGTTGTTGTTGTTGTTGTTGTTGTTGTTGTTGTTGTTGTTGTTGTTGTTGTTGTTGTTGTTAATCTTCCACGTGTTTTGCTGTTGGTTACAACGACGCGTTGTTCTGTGTTTGTTTGATCTGTTGTTGGCAGTTGTCCAGTGGTGTACTGTCCTTCATTCTTCTTTGTACATGTTTTAGTTCTTCGCGTTTTTGGTTCTGTGTGTTTGTCAGAGGGGGTGGGTGCACTGAAAACTGCTTGGCTGCTTGGTTCATATTTCCAAGGATCGGGAAGAGTTGAGAAAGCTCTGTTTGGGGCTTGAACGGACACCAAAGGGCAAGGGTCTCCAAATGTGCCTTGGTGGTGTTTAGCCCATGGCTTTGATTTTCCTTCGGCCTTTGAGCCCACCTCGTGCAGAGCAGAAAGAACAACCGGAGCCCCCGTGTTGAGGATCTTGTCTAAAGAGGGGTTCCAGAAGGACTTGTTCGGGATCTGTTTCGTTTTATCTGTTTTCGTCGTTTCAGGGTGTCCAAGGGACCAAGTAAAATTCCTTGAGGATTCTGTTTGGACAGAAATGGATGTCCAACTTGGGAAACCGCGAAAGATCTGACGGGCCAACTATGCGGAGGAGACCCGACACTTGAAACTAGTCACAGCATGTCGAGGGGCCAAATTCCGGTTGGTTTGAAGGGGCATCAACAGCAAAACCAGCAACACCACAGTATTTTGGGGTCCCCCTATTTTCGACACGTTACCCATGCTTGCTCGACCAACATGATCCATGTTTTCAGGTTTCCGGAATCCGAAGAAAACGAAACCGAGGCCAGCTGCTGTCCATCGCCACTGAGGGCATTGCGGAGCTCACCGTCGGCAAGCCCGGTGCAACTGGGGGTATGTGCGGGGGGGGGGGGTGAAAACATATGGCCGCTTCCTTTGTTGGAATTTGGTGCCGCCTTGTGCCGCCTTTGAAGGGACTAAAACAGGCCAATTTGGGCAATCGGTTAGATAGAGCCGTAGTAAGGGGACCAACCCCAGCTCCACTAGCAATTATCTGTTGGTGTCCCTCGTTTCAGTGGAGATTCACTGTTGGATGGGAACACCCCATTTTAGTAAGCAGGAGTCTATGATTCCGGGGTCAGCAGTACCCGCAAAAGTTGCTGGCATGGTCTTTGTCCTCCTTTTGCAATCGGTGACCGTGCTGGCCTGCGAGCGGCCCGGTGATTTCCAAGGCTATCGACCCATCCAATCTCACACCCCGACTTGGCGTTTATGAAGCAAATGTCGAACGCCCCCCAAACCCCTTGCGTCCCCCTTAGCCTCCTTATGTAATTGGAGCGGGCGGAAGCAGGGCACCATTGCAATAACGAAAGCCGCCCCTTCCCCCCGACCCTCTAGGTTCAGGGGAATCAAACCCAAAAGAGGCCAACTCTTAAGAAATGCGCGTACGCATTGAGTTGTGTGTGTGTGTGTCCTTGTTTGTGTCTGTGTCTGTGGTCACCCAGGTCAATCCCGCAAAGGGCTCTCAAAGCGGGTTTCAATTCGTGTTCGAGTCCGGCAATATGGGCGTGTCTCATGCTTGTGCTGTTCTTGGGTAGACTTAAATGGGAATCGAAAGAGCAACCCTCCGGCAATCATCATATCGTCATACGGGCTTGTTTTTTCTGAGGAACCCCCAACAGTGGTTCCATTTGGTTTCCCTTTAAAACAATCCCAAAAAGAGTTCCCTGAGCGAAAGACCCACAAATACACACCTTAGCCCAAGAATATTCCGTGAGTTTCGCAACCAAGGCCTCCGTGCAACGCGCTTCAGAGCCGGTGCTCAACATGCTGAAGGACTCGAAATCTCAGCGGAACGGGGGGCGGGGGGGAGCGACCCGCACACACAAACACAAACACAAACACAAACACAAACACAAACACAAACACAAACACACACACACACACAAACACACACACACACACACACACACACACACACACACACACACACACACACACACACACACACACACACACACACACACACACACACACACACACACACACACACACACACACACACACACACACACACACACACACACACACACACACACACACACACACACACACACACACACACACACACACACACACACACACACACACACACACACACACACACACACACACACACACACACATTTGAACTCCAGATGGAGAGTGCTAATCTTTCGAGTACAACTGATGAGTCTCGAGTACAACTGATAAGTCTCGAGTAAGATAAGTTTCGGCTCGCGATGCACTCGGCTTCCCTCTAGTGACGAAAGCGTTACAAGGATCAACATGAAGCACACACGAGAGAAACAACGGGCCAAAAGGACTTTGAATCACTGGTACAGGTACGTCAATCTCGCGTCCGAGATTGATATCACAGGCAAGAGCAAAGGTCTTCGTTGGTGCCAGCCTTGCTCTGCCCCTGGCACCCCCTGCTACAACAGAAAAAGGTTTTGGTGGCAGGGTTTTCTGCCACTCCGCACACACACGCCCCTCTAGGAGGGGCGTGGTTTCTCTTTTCTCCAGCAGGAAGATCACATGCTCAAACTCGAATCTCTAACGTTGACCAAAATATCCTCCACGGCGAGGGGAGCGAGACACCGCCCTAAACTGCTCAGAAGACGGGAACGAGAGATCACCACGTTGAGCGTTGCGAGTGTCGCCATAGAGGACTGAAGCGATTTGCGAAGCAGCCGGGCGATCACCATGAGAAAACGGAGTGGCATAGGTGAAGGTCTCCTCAACTGGAACGGCATCGGAGTTCCGAACCTGACCAAGAGATTGATCACGTGGACAATGAGTTGCGAAGGACTCAATCCGAGACAGAATGCGCTGGTACCCTTGATGTTGCCAGTCACGAATGTCCCATGCCTGGACCGGCTCATTGGGATCAGTCACCCGCTGCCATTCCCGAAAAGAATTTTCAGGTAGGTCAGGTACGGCGTCACCGCGGTGCCATCGTTGAGGCTGTCCTGGAGTGTATATCCGCACCCACTCCTGATCCTGCCAGACCGAATATTCGAGCCATGGGTGCTGCTTCGAATCATCGATGTCCATGTCGAAGTAAGAGGCAAGGATTGTCGCGGGCTCCGTCCAGCTAGTAGAGGAACAGGCACCATGCACAACCATGTTCAAACAACAACCAAGCAAGATCATGCAAGTGTAGAGACCACCCTTATTTTGTACGCTGCGCCACTCATGCGAGTCTAGTCCTCAGTCAGCTCGAAGATGGGACTCGTCTTGTCTCTGCCACTGTCGGAAGGATTCACGGGCCGGTAGGGCTCGGAGACCCCAATCGTCTCCGATGGTGTGTTTCCACGCGATGCACGTACCGGTTGATGAGGATGGGAAGCTTGACGTGCGCGAGCCGTCAGTTGTTGAGAAATCCCCTCCTGGAGACGAGTCAGTTCTTCAGTAGAGAAATCCGCCGCATCCGAGGACCTGAGAATCGCGTCTAACAGCTCCGGCGACATACTCAATGCCGCAGACTGCGTGGCCACGCTGTGATGATCAGGGAGATACATGGAATCAAATTCATGACCAGCGTGAGGGGCAGCGACTCTCCGATAGCCTTCTGTGGCCCAGTCTCGTTTGTACCACGTGGTGACTTGGACCTGCCCACCGACTGAGTCCTGGTTGGGAGCATAGAACTCCCTCCATTCTCTAAAAGTATGCGGAGGAGGTGCATCATCATGTTCTTCTTGTGGCGTCCATGGTCCCGGATGAAAGATCTTGACCCACTGGGCATCTGGTTGTTGAGGATCTGGACACCATTCCAGCCACGCCATGACAACGCAACCACGGAAAGACAAATTGATAGGTGTACGGCTGCAGACAACAACGAGTGAAAGCGAAACAACTATCATAATGCAAAAGACCACTTTTGCAGCACTGCGCGGATCCAGCATCGAAGTCAATCTCCCGAATCGAATTGAACTGAACAGACTCCCCAGGAAGGCGAGGACGGGCATCAGCCATCATGTGAATTAGATGATGCCGAGGAGGGGGTCAATCCTGCATACATGAGGTCCGGTGCACCCGAAGCGAAAACTGGCCTCGCTATGCTGGGACGTGGACGACCCAGGCGTTGGTATCCCCTGGTGACCCAGTCCCTGTAATACCAAGTATAGAAGGTTGCGTAGGATACCGGTTGCAAAGCCGTGCCTGTGGTGGTGCCGCCTGTGCTTTCCCTAGGCCAATACACTTCGAAGTGGTGGACCTTGCGCCATTCCCGATAGGTGATCGGGTCATCCGGGGCCGGTGCCAGGGTGTTCGTGGCGACTGGATGCCACTGACCTGGTACACAGATCCGAATCCATATTTGCTGGCCCATTGACGATGTCGTAGTCAAAATAGCGAGGTAGGGCCCATCGTGCTACACCATGCACTGTACTATTGAACATTTCAACCCAGCAAGCTGCTCAAAGTTATCAAGGAAAGCGGCGAACAGATAGAGACGGCATGCACACCACCAAGCAAGACAACCCAACATGGACTCACATGCAAAGCAAGCACAACCGCATCTTTATCCAACATGCTACTCAAGTGTCACTCCGAATCATTCCAAGGATCATGGAATGGTGGCGGCGACGGTGCCCGCCACGCCCCATCCGGTACCGATGAGCCCACCGAGGAATCGACGTCTGCATTCACGAGCATCGCGAATCCGATGGATTGTACAGGAGCTCCAAGTCGTTGATACCCTCGTGTTTGCCAGTCTCGGTACTCCCACACGTGGTAGGACACATAGGAACTGGGCGTGACTATGGGATCCGTTGTGGTGCCTCCAGTACTGTCTTCAGACCAGTACACTTGGAAGTGATATGATCTGCGCCACTCCCGATACGTGGAAGCGTGGAGCGGGTCAGGAACAGGAGCATCATCGGGAACGGGTCTCCAAATGCCCGGAGAATAAATTCGAATCCATTCCACTCCTCTATCGATCTGGTACTCGAAATACTGGGGGTTCATAGCGGCAATACAGGCTCGCACGACTGCTAAACTAGTCGAAAGTCTGCGGCAAAGACACACATGCATTGCCAACCGCGCACATCCGCTGGAGAGTGATGCAACTTTTCAAACTCAAGGTGAAACACAGCAACGAGGTCTGAAATGTCCGACTCCTAGGTTTCACTGTCGTTGATGTCGCGCACACCTGCAATGATAGTGTCCTGGTCGTCTGCGAGCACAAGGGGAAAGACATTTCCGCCCATGGCGCAGGATGGCATGACAGTAATGTTTGCAAGTTGCCGATGGGGACTGCGATGGACGGCCAGCACGTTTGGAAGAAAACACTGTAAAGGGCCGTCGAGATCGCCGCGGCGCTGAAGCTGATGCTGTCCGAGATCGTTTGGACGAGCGCCCTGGACTGCGTGGTTCTTCATCACGGGAAGGATCAGTGCTGTAGATCGAGCGGCGTGTGCGCTGCGATTTCGAAGAGGTAGGGCAGGATTGTCCGCGAGGGGCTGAGATCGAGGGGCTGCGTACCGAGGGCATAAACTGTGGGTGTAGAATCACCGGTGGTGGTGGTGGTGGTGGAGGAGGAGGTGGAAGAAGCAATGGCAGACTTGGCGGGGGCGGAGGCGACGTAGTCTGCCGAATGGGTCTGTCGAGTAAAGCCCCGGGTCCATGAAATTGTAACCACGTCGGCTGCGCTCCATGGGTCCAGGTAATGTACGTCTGTACAACTTGTTCCGACATGATTTGAGCAACTCAGTCATGACTTCACTGCATGTCAACGGCATCTCCCAAAACGACAAGCAAGAGTAAGTCACGTGCAAGCAAGCAAATATCATGTGATCAACAACTAGAGCCGGACACGCCGCCGCAGCTTACCATTTAGTCCTCCGATGGTCGCTGCTGCATTTGACGACCGCGTTCCTAGCCGCGAGCCTCAAGTTGTTGATAGACCTTCCATGCCTGCTTGACTTCTTCAATCGGCTTCTGAAGAAACCGAGCTATGGTCTTATAGGTGGGCCTGGAATCCTTGTCTTTCTTCCGTCTCACCATTTCATCCAGCTCACCCTGTGTCCATGCCGTGAAAGGTTCACGGTATGCATTGCGAAGTGCAATGGTGAATTCTTGTAGAAGTTCCCGAGGACCATGAACCACCGTAGGCGACGGCCGGAACGATGAGGCACCTGGATGCGGACGTACCGAGCCATCAGAATCCGAATCAGGTGTCGTAGGCGACGTCTGTCCTGGCTCTCGGCCACCGTGTGCAGGGAATGGAGCAAGTGGACGAGGCGGTGGCAGTCGATCCAACATCGATTCGGGCCGAGTACCAGGATTGTGGTCACTGGCATCACGATGCGCCGCTCGAGGCGGGGACAAAGCCGGTATGTACCAGGTAGATGACGTGTCCACAGGTCGAGCCCGAATTCGTGTGGGGGAGCGGGATCTGTCAGACGAGGCGCGCTCCGCGATGATGCGGGGTCGCAACCCATGTCTGGAGTTTCTTGGTGCTCTCGGGGTCGCCACCGTGTCTGACGGACGACTACGCTCCGTCATCAAGGCAAAGTTCAGGGTGTCCAGAGCTGTCGCAACTTGGCATGCAAGGACATTGAGTACAGCCACCAGGTTATTCACAAACTCAGCTGACAACTGCATGGCAACCGATCAAACCACAAGGTCAACTCAAGCAAAGCTGCAAAGCAATAACGCTGCGGCATGGCAAAGATATGGTGCATGCAAACATGAATGTAGCAAACGCTGAGGTACTTTTATTGCTGTTGCTCCGTCACCGTTCATACGACAGACCTGATGGTCGGCAAGCTGGCATGGCTTTGACCGCCGGT